CCATCCCTCTCTCCATCCCTCTCTCCATCCCTCTCTCCATCCCTCTCTCCATCCCTCTCTCCATCCCTCTCTCCATCCCTCTCTCCATCCCTCTCTCCATCCCTATCTCCATCCCTATCTCCATCCCTATCTCCATCCCTATCTCCATCCCGTCTCCATCCCGTCTCCATCCCGTCTCCATCCCGTCTCCATCCCGTCTCCATCCCGTCTCCATCCCGTTTCCATCCCGTTTCCATCCCGTTTCCATCCCGTTTCCACCCCGTCTCTGTGGGGCAGGAGGAGGAGGACGTTCAGCACGAGGAGGAGCTCCTCCGCAGCCCCTTCTCTGTTCGCTGCTTCTCTCCCCCCTCCATCCCTATCTCCATCCCTATCTCCATCCCTATCTCCATCCCTATCTCCATCCCTATCTCCATCCCTATCTCCATCCCTATCTCCATCCCTATCTCCATCCCTATCTCCATCCCTATCTCCATCCCGTTTCCATCCCGTTTCCATCCCGTTTCCATCCCGTTTCCACCCCGTCTCTGTGGGGCAGGAGGAGGAGGACGTTCAGCACGAGGAGGAGCTCCTCCGCAGCCCCTTCTCGGTTCGCTGCTTCTCTCCCCCCTCCATCCCTATCTCCATCCCTATCTCCATCCCTCTCCATCCCCATCTCCATCCCTATCTCATCCCTGTCTCCATCCCGTCTCCATCCCGTCTCTATCCCATTTCTATCCCGTCTCCATCCCATCTCTTTCCCGTTTCTATTCCCGTCTCCATCCCGTCTCCATCCCATTTCTATTCCCGTCTCCATCCCGTCTCCATCCCGTCTCCATCCCGTTTCCATCCCTATCTCCATCCCTATCTCCATCCCTATCTCCATCCCTATCTCCATCCCTATCTCCATCCCGTTTCCATCCCGTTTCCATCCCGTTTCCATCCCGTTTCCATCCCGTTTCCATCCCTATCTCCATCCCGTTTCCATCCCGTTTCCACCCCGTCTCTGTGGGGCAGGAGGAGGAGGACGTTCAGCACGAGGAGGAGCTCCTCCGCAGCCCCTTCTCTGTTCGCTGCTGGCTGCGCTATGCCCAGAGCCGCCTCAAGGGGCCTCGCCACCGCCTCAACCTCCTCTTCGAGCGCGGCCTCCGGCAGCTGCCCGGCAGGTGGGGGGGACATGGGGGGTGCATGGGGTATTATGGGGTGTGTGGGGTACATGGGGTACATGGGGGAGAGATGGGGTGCATGGGGTACATGGGGTGCATGGGGTACATGGGGTAGATGGGAGAGAGATGGGGTGCATGGGGTACATGGGGTGCATGGGGTGTGTGGGGCACATGGGGTACATGGGGTAGATGGGAGAGAGATGGGGTGCATGGGGTATATGGCGTGCGTGGGGTGCATGGGGTACATGGGGGAGAGATGGGGTACATGGGGTACATGGGGTGCGTGGGGTACATGGGGTGCGTGGGGTACATGGGGTGCATGGGGTACATGGGGTGCGTGGGGTGCGTGGGGTATATGGGGTGCGTGGGGTATATGGGGTGCATGGGGTATATGGGGTGCATGGGGTATATGGGGTGCGTGGGGTGCATGGGGTGCGTGGGGTACGTGGGGTACATGGGGTAGATGGGAGAGCAGTGGGGTGCATGGGGTACATGGGGTACGTGGGGTACATGGGGTGCATGGGGTGCGTGGGGTATATGGGGTGCATGGGGTATATGGGGTGCGTGGGGTATATGGGGTGCATGGGGTGCGTGGGGTACCTGGGGTGCGTGGGGTACATGGGGTGCGTGGGGTATGTGGGGTGCATGGGGTACATGGGGTGCATGGGGCACCTGGGGGAGATATGGGGTGCGTGGGGTACATGGGGTGCATGGGAGAGAGATGGGGTGTATGGGGTACATGGGGGAGACATGGGGTACGTGGGGTGCATGGGGCGTATGGGGGAGAAATGGGGTACATGGGGTGCATGGGGTACATGGGGGAGAGATGGGGTGCGTGGGGTACAGAGAGATGGGGTGTCCCTGGCTGCCATTGGGTGTCCCTGGGTGTCACCGGGTGTCTCAATGGGTGTCCCTGGGTGTCCCTGGGTGTCATTGGGTGTCCCTGGGTGTCACTGGGTGTCTCAATGGGTGTCCCTGGGTCTCATTGGGTGTTCCTGGGTGTCACCGGGTGTCCCTAGGTGTCATTGGGTGTCACAGTGGGTGTCACTGGGTGTCATTGGGTGTCACCGGGTGTCACAGTGGGTGTCATTGGGTGTCACTGGGTGTCCCTGGGTATCACCGGGTGTCTCTGCGTGTCACCGGGTGTCTCAATGGCTGTATCCATGGGTGTCACCGGGTGTCAGTGGGTGTCCCTGGGTGTCATTGGGTGTCTCAATGGGTGTCCCTGGGTGTCACGGGCTGCCATTGGGTGTCACTGGGTGTCATTGGGTATCACTGGATGTCACAATGGGTCTCAATGGGTGTCCCTGGGTGTCACAATGGGTGTCACAATGGGTGTCCCTGGGTGTCCCTGGGTGTCCCTGGGTGTCATTGGGTGTCATAACGGGTGTCCCTGGGTGTCACCGGGTGTCTCAATGGGTGTCCCTGGGTGTCATTGGGTGTCATTGGGTGTCCCAATGGGTGTCAGTGGGTGTCCCTGGGTGTCACGGGCTGCCATTGGGTGTCACTAGGTGTCATTGGGTATCACTGGATGTCACAATGGGTCTCATTGGGTGTCCCTGGGTGTCCCTGGGTCTCAATGGGTGTCTCAATGGGTGTCCCTGGGTGTCCCTGGGTGTCACTGGGTGTCACAATGGGTGTCCCTGGGTGTCATTGGGTGTCACCGGGTGTCCCTGGGTGTCATTGGGTGTCCCTGGGTCTCACCGGGTGTCTCAATGGGTGTCATTGAGTGTCCCTGGGTCTCAATGGGTGTCACAATGGGTGTCATTGGGTGTCACCGGGTGTCTCAATGGGTGTCATTGGGTATCACTGGGTGTCCCAATGGGTGTCAGTGGGTGTCAGTGGGGTTCAATGGGGTTCAATGGGGCTCAGTGGTATTCACTGGGGTCAATGGGTGTCATTGGGTGTCCCTGGGTCTCAATGGGTGTCCCTGGGTGTCACTGGGTGTCCCAATGGGTGTCAGTGGGTGTCAGTGGGTGTTACGGGCTGCCATTGGGTGTCATTGGGTATCACTGGATGTCACAATGGGTCTCAATGGGTGTCCCTGGGTGTCTCAGTGGGTGTCACCGGGTGTCTCAATGGGTGTCATTGGGTGTCCCTGGGTCTCAATGGGTGTCCCTGGGTGTCTCAGTGGGTGTCATTGGGTGTCACAATGGGTGTCCCTGGGTGTCACCGGGTGTCTCACTGGGTGTCATTGGGTGTCTCAATGGGTGTCATTGGGTGTCCCTGGGTGTCTCAATGGGTGTCATTGGGTGTCCCTGGGTCTCAATGGGTGTCTCAATGGGTGTCACCGGGTGTCTCAGTGGGTGTCCCTGGGTGTCACCGGGTGTCTCACTGGGTGTCACTGGGTGTCTCAATGGGTGTCACTGGGTGTCACCGGGTGTCTCAGTGGGTGTCATTGGGTGTCCCTGGGTCTCAATGGGTGTCCCTGGGTATCATTGAGTGTCACATTGGGTGTCACTGGGTGTCTCAATGGGTGTCCCAGGGTGTCTCAGTGGGTGTCCCTGGGTGTCTCAATGGGTGTCAATGGGTGTCCCTGGGTATCATTGAGTGTCACAATGGGTGTCACCGGGTGTCACAATGGGTGTCCCTGGGTGTCCCTGGGTCTCAATGGGTGTCTCAATGGGTGTCCCTGGGTATCATTGGGTGTCACAATGGGTCTCAATGGGTGTCCCTGGGTGTCACCGGGTGTCCCTGGGTGTCCCTGGGTGTCACCAGGTGTCTCAATGGGTGTCACTGGTTCTCAATGGGTGTCCCTGGGTGTCCCTGGGTGTCTCATTGGGTGTCCCTGGGTGTCACCGGGTGTCTCATTGGGTGTCCCTGGGTGTCACCGGGTGTCTCATTGGGTGTCATTGGGTGTCACCGGCTGTCATTGGGTGTCTCAATGGGTGTCAATGGGTGTCACTGGTTCTCAATGGGTGTCATTGGGTGTCCCTGGGTGTCTCAATGGGTGTCACCGGGTGTCACCGGGTGTCATTGGGTGTCCCTGGGTGTCTCAATGGGTGTCACCGGGTGTCACCGGGTGTCATTGGGTGTCTCAATGGGTGTCAATGGGTGTCACTGGTTCTCAATGGGTGTCATTGGGTGTCACCGGGTGTCATTGGGTGTCTCAATGGGTGTCAATGGGTGTCCCTGGGTCTCAATGGGTGTCATTGGGTCTCATTGGGTGTCCCCGTGTGTCCCCGCTCTGTCCCCAGTTACAAGCTGTGGTACCAGTACCTGCGGCACCGGCGGCACCAGGTCAAGGGGCGCTGCCCCACGGACCCGGCCTACGAGGAGGCCAACGCCTGCCACGAGCGAGCCCTCGTCTTCATGCACAAGGTTGGGGGGGACATGGGGACAAGACCCCCCCCGGCCCCATAACTGTGACCCCCAGCACCATCACTGCCCCCCCAGCCCCATAACTGTGACCCCCAGCCCCATAACTGTGACCCCCAGCCCCATAACTGTGACCCCCAGCCCCATAACTGTGCCCCCCGGGCCCATAACTGTGACCCCCGGCCCCATAACTGTGACCCCCGGCCCCATAACTGTGACCCACAGCCCCATAACTGTGACCCCAGCCCCATAACTGTGCCCCCAGCCCCATAACTGTGACCCCCAGCACCATCACTGCCCCCCCCCATAACTGTGACCCCAGCCCCATAACTGTGACCCACAGCCCCATAACTGTGACCCCCAGCCCCATAACTGTGACCCCCGGGCCCATAACTGTGCCCCCCAGCATCATCACTGCCCCCCCAGCCCCATAACTGTGACCCCTGGGCCCATAACTGTGCCCCCCGGCTCCATAACTGTGCCCCCCAGCACCATCACTGCCCCCCCGGCCCCATAACTGCCTCCCCCAGGCCCCGGAACTGCCCCCCAGGCCCCATCACCGACATCCCCGGCCCCACCACTGCCCTCCCTCCAGCCCCACAACCACCCCCTCCAGCCCCACAACCACCCCTTCCGGCCCCATAACCACTCCCTCCAGCCCCACAACCACCCCCTCCAGCCCCACAACCACCCCCTCCAGCCCCACAACCACCCCCTCCAGCCCCATAACCCCCCCCTCCAGCCCCACAACCACCCCCTCCAGCCCCACAACCACCCCGTGCAGCCCCACAACCACCCCGTGCAGCCCCACAACCACCCCCTCCAGCCCCACAACCACCCCCTCCAGCCCCACAACCACCCCCTCCAGCCCCACAACCACCCCTCCAGCCCCACAACCACCCCCTCCAGCCCCACAACCACCCCTCCAGCCCCATAACCACCCCCTCCAGCCCCATAACCACCCCGTGCAGCACCACAAACGCCCCCTGCAGCCCCACAACCACCCCCTCCAGCCCCATAACCACCCCTCCAGCCCCACAACCACCCCGTGCAGCCCCATAACCACCCCCTCCAGCCCCACAACCACCCCTCCAGCCCCACAACCACCCCCTCCAGCCCCACAACCAACCCCTCCAGCCCCATAACAACCCCCTCCAGCCCCATAACCACCCCCTCCAGCCCCACAACCACCCCCTCCAGCCCCACAACCACCCCCTCCAGCCCCACAACCACCCCCTCCAGCCCCACAACCACCCCCTCCAGCCCCACAACCACCCCCTCCAGCCCCACAACCACCCCCTCCAGCCCCATAACCACCCCCTGCAGCCCCACAACCACCCCGTGCAGCCCCACAACCACCCCGTGCAGCCCCACAACCACCCCCTCCAGCCCCACAACCACCCCCTCCAGCCCCACAACCACCCCCTCCAGCCCCACAACCACCCCCTCCAGCCCCACAACCACTCCCTCCAGCCCCATAACCACCCCCTCCAGCCCCACAACCACCCCTTCCAGCCCCATAACCACCCCCTCCAGCCCCACAACCACCCCGTGCAGCCCCACAACCACCCGTGCCTCCAGCCCCACAACCACCCCTCCAGCCCCACAACCACCCCCTCCAGCCCCACAACCCCCCCCTCCAGCCCCATAACCCCCCCATCCCCGCAGATGCCGCGCATCTGGCTGGATTACTGCCAGTTCCTGGTGGAGCAGGGCCGGATCACGCGGACGCGGCGCACCTTCGACCGGGCGCTGCGGGCGCTGCCCATCACCCAGCACCACCGCGTCTGGCCGCTCTACCTGCAGTTCGTGCGGCGGTACCCGCTGCCCGAGACCGCCGTGCGGGTGTACCGCCGCTTCCTCAAGGTACCCGGGTGCGGGTGTACCTGTGTGAGGGTGTACCTGTGTGTGGTTGTACCTGTGTGTGGTTGTACCTGTGTGCGGGTGTACCTGTGTGTGTACCTGTGTGCGGTTGTACCTGTGTGTGGTTGTACCTGTGTGCGGGTGTACCTGTGTGCGGGTGTACCGCCGCTTCCTCAAGGTACCTGTGTGCGGGTGTACCTGTGTGTGGTTGTACCTGTGTGCGGGTGTACCGCCGCTTCCTCAAGGTACCCGTGTGCGGTTGTACCTGTGTGAGGGTGTACCTGTGTGCGGGTGTACCGCCGCTTCCTCAAGGTACCTGTGTGCGGGTGTACCTGTGTGTGGTTGTACCTGTGTGCAGGGGTACCTGTGTGAGGGTGTACTTGTGTGCGGGTGTACCGCCGCTTCCTCAAGGTACCTGTGTGCGGGTGTACTTGTGTATGGTTGTACCTGTGTGAGGGTGTACCGCCGCTTCCTCAAGGTACCCGGGTGTGGTTGTACCGGTGTGTGGTTGTACCTGTGTGTGGTTGTACCTGTGTGCGGGTGTACCGCCGCTTCCTCAAGGTACCCGTGTGTGGTTGTACCTGTGTGTGGTTGTACCTGTGTGAGGGTGTACCTGTGTGTGGTTGTACCTGTGTGTGGTTGTACCTGTGTGTGGTTGTACCTGTGTGCGGGTGTACCTGTGTGCGGGTGTACCGCCGCTTCCTCAAGGTACCTGTGTGTGGGTGTACCTGTGTGTGGTTGTACCTGTGTGAGGGTGTACTTGTGTGTGGTTGTACCTGTGTGCGGGTGTACCGCCGCTTCCTCAAGGTACCTGTGTGTGGTTGTACCTGTGTGTGGTTGTACCTGTGTGCGGGTGTACCGCCGCTTCCTCAAGGTACTTGTGTGAGGGTGTACCTGTGTGTGTACCTGTGTGCGGGTGTACTGCCACTTCCTCAAGGTACCTGTGTGTGGTTGTACCTGTGTGTGGTTGTACCTGTGTGTGGTTGTACCTGTGTGAAGGTGTACCTGTGTGAGGGTGTACTTGTGTGCGGGTGTACCTGTGTGCGGGTGTACTGCCGCTTCCTCAAGGTACCCGTGTGCGGGTGTACTTGTGTGTGGTTGTACCTGTGTGAGGGTGTACTTGTGTGCGGGGGTACCTGTGTGCGGGTGTACCGCTGCTTCCTCAAGGTACCTGTGTGCGGGTGTACCTGTGTGTGGTTGTACCTGTGTGAGGGTGTACTTGTGTGTGGTTGTACCTGTGTGCGGGTGTACCGCCACTTACTCAAGGTACCTGTGTGTGGTTGTACCTGTGTGTGGTTGTACCTGTGTGCGGGTGTACCGCCGCTTCCTCAAGGTACCTGTGTGCGGGTGTACTTGTGTGTGGTTGTACCTGTGTGCGGGTGTACCGCCGCTTCCTCAAGGTACCCGTGTGTGGTTGTACCCGTGTGTGGTTGTACCTGTGTGAGAGTGTACATGTGTGCGGGTGTACCGCCGCTTCCTCAAGGTACCTGTGTGTGGTTGTACCTGTGTGAGGGTGTACTTGTGTGTGGGTGTACCTGTTGGTGGGTGTACCGCCGCTTCCTCAAGGTGCCCGTGGCTGGGGGTACCTGTGTGAGGGTGTACTTACGTGCAGGGGTACCTGTGTGTGGGTGTACTGCCGATTCCTCAAGGTACCTGTGGCCGGGGGTACCTTTGTGCGGGTGTACCTGTGCGAGGGTGTACTTGTGGGGGGGGTACCTGTGTGAGGGTGTGCTTGTGTGCGGGGGTACCTGTGTGCGGGTGTACCTGTGTGCGGGGGTACCACCGCTTCCTCAAGGTACCCGTGTGAGGGTGTACCTGTGCGTGGTTGTACCTGTGTGCAGGGGTATCTGTGTGTGCGGGGGTACCTGTGTGAGGATGTAGCCGGTGCGGGTGTACCAGTGTGCGGGTGTACCCAGTGCAGGGGTACCTCTGTGTGGGAGTACCACCGCTAAGGTGGGGGTTGTGCCCCCCTTGGTGTCACCCTAAGGTGGGGGTTGTGCCCCCCCTTGGTGTCACCCTAAGGTGGGGGTTGTGCCCCCCCTTGGTGTCACCCCACGGCGGTGACGCTGTTGTTGTGTGTGTCCCCCCCCCAGCTGAGCCCCGAGAGCGCAGAGGAGTTTGTGGGGTACCTGTGTGCCGCGGGGCGCCTGGATGAGGCCGCCACGCGCTTGGCCCAGCTCGTCAATGACGAGCGCTTCGTGTCCCGCCACGGCAAGTCCAACTACCAGGTGAGGCACCCATGGGTGGGGGGTGGGGAAGCACCCATGGGTGGGGGTGGGGTGAGCACCCATGGGTGGGGGTGGGGGGGGCACCCATGGGTGGGGGGAGGGGGGCACCCATGGGTGGGGGTGGGGGGGAGCACCCGTGGGTAGGGGTGGGGAAGCACCCATGGGGGGGGTGGGGGTGGGGGGTGCACCCGTGGGTAGGGTGGGGGGCACCCATGGGTGGGGGTGCACCGAATGGTGGGGGGGAGCACCCGTGGGTAGGGTGGGGGGCACCCATGCGGGGGGGGGCACTGAAGGGTGGGGGGGGGCACCCGTGGGGGGAGGGGGTACCCAGGGGGGGGGGGGGGGCACCCATGGGTGGGGGTCACCCTTGGGAGGGTGGTGGGGGGGGGTGGGGGGGCACCCATGGGTGGGGGGGGGGGGCACCAAATGGTGGGGGGAGCACCCGGGGGTAGGGTGGGGGGCACCCATGTGGGGGGGGCGCCCTGAAGGGTGGGGGGGGCACCCGTGGGGGGAGGGGGTACCCATGGGGGGGGCACCCATGGGTGGGGGAAGGGGGGCACCCGTGGGTGCGGGGGGGGGGGGGCACCGAATGGAGGGGGGAGCACCCGTGG